TAATAATAATAATAATAATAATAATAATAATAATAATAATAATAATAATAATAATAATAATAATAATAATAATAATCGATTCCGTCGTTCTTCACTGCCCGAATTGGTATCATACGGCAGTAAATTACGACGTGACTACGGGTCCTTATTATTTAATAATCATCACAATAATAATCATAATATTAATAATAACAACAATAATAATAACAACAACAATAATGATACGCGAAAGTCACAACCGGTTTTGCAGATGGAGTCATTGTACGAGACTGATTATATAGTGGAAGAAGAAGAGGAAGATGGGGAAGAGGAAAATAAGAATAATCATGATGAGGATAATAAAAAGGGAGAAAGACAAAGTAATGAGGATGAATAAGGGGAGTGGGATAAGTGTAATTGTAATGAAAAAATGTATTTTATAGTGATGATGAAGTTATAAAGAGTAGGAGGAGTAAAAGTAAAAAGGATCAAGTTTTACGTGAAATATATTCAATTAAATAAATACATACTAATGGTTTAATTCGCGTCAGATAGTTCTGTATCGGATCTTTACTTTTTTCATATAAATACCAGCGGAATAAGAGACTCTCGCAAGCGGAAATTTATGTACAAATGAATGTCTGACAATGAAACTTTATCATCGCAAAATCGAATCTTTGGAGGAATTGCGCTATAAACCGGAAACTTGGAAACAGTCAATAATTGGGACCGGAAATACTCGTATCAAGTTAACTTTTTTCTCCAAATGAGCACGCGTTACTTAATCGAACTCGAACTAATTATTGAACGCGAAAGTCCGTTTATCTACTCGTAAATTAATAGAAATGGTAGAAGTTTTGAAAAATTCGGTTTATTTAGTAAATTCGGTTCATCGAGTAACATTTACTATGTTCCTGGAACCAACTTCGGTTTTAATTAGTGCTTCGACACAAACTGAACGCGGCATAAAAGACTGACAGCTGGGGATCGTTAAGCGCTCGTAGGAGCATAATCTGCCGATCATCTACACCTAATGCAAGTTAAAAGACGATGTGATGACAAATCTTTCTCATTGATTGACAAATTAACCATTTTCTTCTGTCACTTACCATCCACTATTCTCCTCTAGTACTACTTCCAGACACTGCCAGCACTGCAACGACTATAGAATGTAAACCGTTAACAATGACGATATAAAATTTAAAGAACAAGGAAAAATACTTACGTCTACTTTCTCGGTTTCTTTTTATCCTTCTCTTCACCTTCGTCTTCCTCTAATCCCCGCTTCCGACTGCTGCTGCTTTCTCCTGTGCTGGCAGTACTACTACTGGCCACGCCCATCGCTTCTTCACTTTGAGCCGCCGACTCCTCAACCCAGGTTTCAGCTTCCGCCAGGAGCTCTTCTGTTTCTCGCCTTTTTTTCGCTGCTCTCCTCCTTCGAGCTTCACCATACCTCTCCTTAACACGCGGGTTCTCCAATTTACTTCTCAACTCCCTTCTCGAAAACCGTCTACTCGCCTCCATTTCTTCACAAGGCGTTTGCCGGCCGGCTAGCCGTTCGTCCACTCGCCAATCGTACAACTCTTGCAAATAATCCTCATCTTCAGCGACGACTAGTCGGTCAGCAAACCTGACCCGCTTTCCTTCTCCTCTCCTAGCTCCTGAACGAATGCTACTTCGCCTGGGTTGCCTGGCGTGACCAGTTCTGGAAGCAGCACCGAAAAATGCATCCATCCAACTTGCCATTTCTTGTAACTCCGTCGATCCCTTCTCTTTCACCCACTCGTTCATCGCATTGCAAATGTTAAAGTTGTCATTGTTGTCATTGTTATTGTTATAACTGTTAATGTCCAACCATCTCGCAATTTCTCTGGATTCCGTCGACCCTTTCTCTCTCACCCACTCAGTCACTGCCTCACAAATGTTAAACATGCCGACTTGGTTATTGTTAAATATTGCTGCTAGTGTTATTATCGTTAAAAAAATTTTATTCGGATATTTCGCGAATCACAATAAAAGTCAGCTTTGGTATGAAAAAAAATTCTCGCCAAGTCACAACGTAAATCAAATGATGACAACTTTTACGTTGATATGATGTAATTAATCTCTGACACAAGAATTTTGTTCACACGAAATATAAATCTGTTTGACACGAAATATAAATCTGTTTGACACGAAATATAAATCTGACACGAAATATAAATCTGTTTGATCACGATACCTAGTAAATTTGAATGTAATACGAAAGACAAATGAGAATTTCTCGATATTGAAATACATGAAAAGAAAGACACGTATGTTTCATGTTAGTACCGACTTAATTTGTAGAGTAATAAATTGTGATGATTTTTTATTTCGAAATTCTAATTCATTTTAAACATTTTTGTCATTATTAACATTGTCTATTTTTTCCCCGGTTAATTTTTCAAATGCTTCAGCAACAGAAGACTCTTTATCACTTTCTGTTTTGGTTGAAAGAGAACTGTATGTGGGAAGATCGCTAATCCATTCATCCCATTTTTTCCATTTTATTATACGTGGATCAAAGTAATCGAATGAACTATTGTCGCTGTGATCTGTGTCGGTACCATCTATTTTGCGTGTTGCACCCCAAGAGAAATCTACAAAATTGATTGCAAAATTAGCATACATATATATATATTGTCTCGAACCAAAATTATTTTTGTTTACTAACTTACCATCGAAATGCCAGAATGCATATGCCGGCAAAATCAAATTCCAGATAGGAAACGCCGCAAAAAACACCAAAAACCAGACGACATACAACGGTTTATGCGAAGTGATCATAACAAATACCGCTTGAAGCATCAAAATCGCCGCGAAATATAACAACGGCAACACGACAGATTGTCCCAGTGCGAGTCCAACCAACAAATAAGCCAGAAATATCACGGCAAAAGGTGTTGTTACAGTGCTAAACAGTTCTAGGAACACGACGAATTGCATAGAGAAACAGAATTTCCCGGGTAATTGTGAGACGAGCAACAATTCCATTAGATTATGCACGGTACCATTGATCCAACGACGTCGTTGGGATAAGAGAACACTGAATGTGTGGGGGACCACGGTATGACAGATTGCAGTTGAACAGTAGAGCGTTTTTCGTTGTGGAAAGGTTTTGAGCATTAGAGTTGTGAGGTACCGATCTTCGCCTAAAAGTAATAAATTCTTTTGGTGTAGTGTGTCTACGGTATTTGATGAGTAAGCTTTTAGAATATCGGGATTTGCTAGGATTGGAACTCGCAATCCGTTGTATTTTGTTGCATAGACACGATACATGCAAAAGCATCCAGGCAGACATATGACACGTCCGAATATCGATTCAAAAGTCTTTCCTAAATGATGAGAAATATAATAGTCAAAGACCTATTATCGAGGAAAAATAAAACTTAGCCTTGTATAATTTTTAATTAAATATTAACATCTAAATAAAATGCTAATTAAATAAAACGAATTACCTGAATCATTGTAACCCACGATTGATATCTGTTTAATAATTTCGTTTCACCGCATACTCCGATTACTTTTGGATCATTATCCATGGTAGCAACCATCCGTTTCAAGGCATCACGCTTCAGCAAAGTATCCGAATCCACCATCGCAACCAATTCATATCGATCAATTGTGACTCCATTGGTTATAAGACGAACCTTTTCAAATATGTCAAATTCCAACTCTGTCATTTTCTCATTGAAAAATGCATGAGTTAGTAATTGCATCAAAATTAATTGTGTATCGCGTTTTCCTCGGTTTCCTGCTTTCGGTTCATCTTGTTCTTCGGGTGTTCCGCATTTATTCACTAAAATCATCGGGACCTGTTGATCCTCATAATTATAATATCCGGCATAAACTTGTGCCATGTTGTGTCGTTTTTTGCCATTACCCAATGCTATATAAGATTTTGGTTCTGGATCACCAATCCTTGGGGATTTAACTTCTATGAGACCTTTTAATATTTGCGGAGTTGATTTTTCGTTTCCGGATCCAGTAATGTTACCGTCTGAAATTACGAAAAATAATTTATGTTCATTTGAATAGTCACTTGCGGCAAGAGAATCAAATGTAGCACGCATTGATGCTTCATCTTCAGAGTAGCAAGGAACCAAAATAATCGTATATTTTGTTTCCTCTTTTGATTTAGGCGTTGCCAAAATCCTGGAAATTTTTTCAGAAATAAACCAATCGTAAACTGTGGCCGATAGGAATTTGATAGTTGCGACAATCGTAAAGATGGCCGTCATAAAAATCACTACTAAATTAGCAATACTACAGCCAACTTCTCGACCATCAACTTTTCCAACGAGAAAATGTTCAAAACAATTCGTTGTCGATGACAAATTTTTCTGCTGAGCAAGAAACTTAGTCGCGTCTGTTCCAATCAAGGGTGAGAGCAATGTACGCGTAGAATTATTATTAAACCAATGATTCGGATTAGCGAGAACTTCCGTAACATCATACACTTTTTGCTTCCATACGAAATATTGGCGTTTACTGACATCAGTGATGTTTTCCCATGCGTATGCAACGAAATTTCCATTCCAGACACTCTCAAGTGCATCAATAGATCCACGAGAAGTATGGCAATGAAGCTTGGTGTTATTAGTTTGTGCTCCGGCGCATAATGCTCCATTATTATATACAGGTGTATACGCACATTCAATATCATTGTTGTTCAAAGGAAATAAATCACTAATATCTTTTCCGTATCTTGGTACGATAACATCATTCAACGTGTCATCAGTAAACGGAAGAATCGGTCGATGAAAACCAGACTGAAAATAATTCCCAACATTATAAACTTTTCCTCTTACAATCATTGCTCGTTGATCTTTCCCCGCACCAAATCTATTCTCGACAACTTGTCGATAGATGTTCAATTTTCCGGTACAAGTAACTTGAAGAAAACCAAATGTCATAAAACCTAATCCGAGCGACACGAAGACAATGCAAAGGCATAATGCTACCTTTTCACGCCATGCTTGTCGTGTTTGTGGGTTTTCCAATTTTCCGATCTTTGAGAGAAATTTATCTGAGAAAAATAACGTCGTTAGTTTTGAGAATATCACCCACGGTGTAAATTTCTGTCTAGGTGCCATATCTTGTCGTACGTGTGGTGCTGTGCTAAATCGGTTCATGCTGTATGCGGCGCTTTTGTAATACTCCGATAGTCTTTTATTGGCATTTCGTTTTGGTACAATTGCAACGCGTTTACCCTTAGGATCATTGACAGGTGCCATGAAACCTTTAGAAACATACGCATCAGTACTTATACCGGTCATTGGCACCATTGTGTTGTTATTGTTATCGTTACTCCGTAAATATTCAACAGAAACTTTTTTATTTAACACTGTCCAAGTCTTTGGTGTCTCTTTAATCGAAATATGTCTACTATTGATCTTTTCATCGTAATTCATTTTCATATCTGCAGTTTGCGTATTTCCTACTTCATGTTGATTCTTTTCTTCTGTGGTATTTGTCTGTGATTGTTTTTGAACTGTGGTGAGAGAAGACGAAGATGATGAAGATGAAGATGAGGAAGATGAGGAAGATGAGATTTGTGATGTATTGGAGAAATTATTGGTGTCTAGATTATTTCGCGACATTTTTGTATTTTAAAATATTAATTTATTATTGATTTATCTTCCATATGACTTTTGTCGTTGGATTATTATTTTTTTGAGATTTCACAGAAATCAAGGTTTATTAAAGGAAAGAGAAGATAGCAAGGAAGATAAGGAAGATAAGGATAAAGGCTAAAGGCTTTTAAAATTTACTTTACAGAAAAAATTCCTTTTTTATTAAAATTTCGTATGAATTAATAATTAGAATTTCATAATATCGAAATTTCCTAAATTAGAATATTGCCCGAGTTTAGAAAATGGAGATCACAATCTGCATCTCCCGAAATTAATTGTTCGGGATTTTTCAAAATTACCGTTACCAAAATGATTTTAAATATTCACCGTCACCGAGTATGAGTTCGGTAAAAATTTTTCAAAAATTTACGAGATAAAATTCAATCGAGAAAATTTAGTTTAGACTGTTTTGAACTCGGACAAGATTTTAATTAAGGGTTCGTTACATTTAGATTGAAATTTAAACTTAATTTAACCTCAAGGCTATTAATCTTGTTTGATTCATTTTGCGGAAAAATAATTGGTTTTACTAAAAAGAAAAAAAAAAGGAAAACAATCATCGAAAAATGCGGCACCGCACCTGTTTTGGCGATCTCTCAGACTAAACCGTAAGGATAAATATAGAAATTTTCACCGAAATTGATAAATAAAAAGTTTGCTGTGAAACATTTTAATAACGACTCCATGTAAAAGATAACTGTATAGCTGCTAACTCGCGTTTTAAAGTGATACTATCATTATAGTGATACTTTTTTGTGTACGTGAATAACATTGTCCCACAATTCTTATTTTTTCTTTACTGGTACAGTCAAAGCGCCAAGCTCATTAATAATGCATTATATCAAGAGGATTTATTATAGACTGTTTTTGAGTTCAACATCACTATATCGAGAGTTCATTCGGACATATGTACAGAAAAATATAGTCTCTTCAATTAACATATTACATCATAATTTACCATAATATCGACAAAACAAGTACTACTTTCTTTGTCTTTCTTTGTAATAGCACGATATTATAATTAATAATCAAGGGTTGCCGGTGCTCTTATAAAAGTTAAATATAGTCCCGGCAAAAGTAATGGCAGCCAGTTTTTTATCATATTGTATCACAAAATTTAAAAAAATTTACTTTTAAAGTGCCTCTGAGTAGGGAATTATGCCCGTGTCAATGCAAGTTCAAATATAATAAATGTTCTAAAGTTTTGTAACTGATACGTTTTTGACTAAAAAAAACAAACTAAAACTCGCAATAATTCTATAAATGTTGTTCTGACTAAAATGAACTAATTATCGAGAAAACAAGTTTTGAAAATTTTAAAAAGCTGCAATCGGGAGAATGATATGCCGTGATGCGTTCTTATTAGATTTTCGCAAATTCATCACAATTTTGTTTTTTTTATTGTTATTACATGTATTATTTATATAATTTGCTTCTATAAAAAATGTAATAAAATTTATATGACAATCTCACCGCCATTACTTTCGTCGGTGACTGTATTAAAGATACAATGTTGATGAGTGATTTTCAACAAAACAAGGCACCGGGATGTGTGTTAACTACAAATAAATATAAAATGCATTAAATACAGTAATCTTAGGTAACAATATTCTTAATTGGATTACGATAAAACCATTGAAACAAGATTTTTTTGCATATCTTTAAAGAAAATACCTCTTTTTCATTTATGATTTGCAACCTCCACAATTCTAAACTCTAAAGAATTGTGTTCAGAAAGCTTGTTATCAATTTTAGCTAACTCTTTACAAATAACAATATTCATATGATTTTCGCGAGTGGTACGAAAAAAGCTAAGAATTATACTTCATTGGTACTCGATTATTAGCATTTATTCATTATCCGTTGAGAATAGAAAAACGCTAGAAGATCCAAAAATGTGTACCATTATGTCTTGTTACATTTCCTTTTTATGCTCATAAAAAGCCCACCACCAAAACCAGAAGAAATCGTTAAATTTACTCCCTATAGTAAACCTTGATTTAGTTGGTCCTTTTTTTATTTTTCCGCAAAATGAATAATGAATAATTCGCAGGGATAGTATTGTGGGCAGTGCTCTATGGTAATCAATCAGAATACAAAAAAAAACTTCGACCACCCGCTCACTTCAGAATAATACTGGATTTTATAGTGTTTATGCATCATAGCTAGAGAATTTTCGGCGATAAACTTGGTATCGGTATAGTTAAAATCTTTGGTGAGCCCTATAAGAAAAATACGCCTGTAAATATGTCTATAAAAGGTCACTTTTACACATGTTTTACAGACATATAAACGCGTAAATCGCGTATGTAAAAATCTGTTCCTACATTTTCATGCATTTACATACTCGATTTACGCGTTTATATGTCCTTTTACAGACATATCACACTTTTTCGTATTTTTTACAACATTTATCGAAATTTAAAGACGTAATTTTTTATAGGGTTAAAACTTTGCTCGGTGAATTTGATTGTATGCTGCACACACTCATCAGAACACAAATATTATGACCTCTTTTATGATTCGTTATTCTTTAAACTGAATTTTAAGCTTGATCTGTATTAATTTTTTTTATGATATTAATTATATAAGGAATACAATCTTCGGACCGTAGTTGTAGTCTATCGATCACTACGCGCACTAATTTTTGACTGATGTAGTTGTTGTCCCTACAGTTTCGTTGATGTATAAAAATCCTACAGCATACCACAAAAAACATTGATAATTTGCAGGAAGAATTCAATAATTGGATCAGTGATCTGGCGGTTCCATACACTCTCAAGAATAACTTCTTCATCGTGTCTGCCTTGAGTGTACCTAAATTGATAAAGAAATAAATATTTAAAATGGTTGATTTTCTCTGATCACTCCACAATTCTCATTTCATAGTTATTAAAGATATACTTACGTTCTTTGTAGTAGCCCAGATAGCACAAAACAATTTTAAGAGAAGAATCATAAAATTCTTTCATGTAATTATCACAATTATCATGCGCATAAAATTTAATTTTATCTATAATAATATTAACTTTATTACGAATATAAGAAAAAACTGCATTTTTTTATATATGTTAATGTTAATCTAAGGATCTGAAATTATTGGGATATAAATTATCCGAAGATAAAAAACTAAGAAGAGAAATTAATCTATATAAATTATCTTTGAGAAAGGGTAGTAGTGTAATTATAAATTATCTTTGAGAAAGGGTAGTAGTGTAATTATAAATCATCTTTGAGAAAGGGTAGTAGTGTAATTATAAATCATCTTTGAGAAGTGTAGTAATGTAATTATAAATCATCTTTGAAAAGTGTAGTAATGTAATTATAAATCATCTTTGAGAAGTGTAATAATGTAATTATAATCATCTTTGAGAAGTGTAGCAATTAAAACTATTTGATTGCATAACAAAACAAATTATTTAGAATTTATAGTACTGAATAGGACATCGATAAAGTTAAATTAAAGTTTATAGAGACTTACTTTACCTTTGATCTTCTCTCAATCTTAAAAGACTCGAGACAATACTTTAAAAAAATAAGAACAAAATCAGTCATAGATCGCAGTTAAAATACAAAAAGGTCTTTATTATTCTTTTATTTGTGATATTTCCATACCAAATGTTATCATCATACTCTTTATACGATGCGGAACAACATCTATATTCAAGAATCAATATTTGTTATTGACTTAAGGATTTAGAGGCTATAAAGAATGAAAAACGAAAATTTACTTTGCGGCAGACATAACACACAAAAATTCGGCGGCTGCCTCTTGTTTTTTTCGTTCCTGTTTTTCACGTTGTCTTCGCGTTATTCGCGTAGTAGCATACGGTAGATACTCAAAGAGTTTACTGCTTCTTTTATTATCACTATAATATGAAGGATGTTAAAAAATGGATTATAGATGAAACAGTCTAATTTGAATAAAAATCACTTTATCCGATCCTCGAGATCGGCTTTTGATCCCCAATTTGGAAGACCTGCTTCTTTCGCCATTACTAAAGGTATATTTTAAAATATCCAAACTTTTATTCACTGTTTAGTAAAACAAAGAGCTTAAAGTTATTGTTATATTACTCTTCAGCTGCGCTTTCGTTTTTCTCTTGGTTTTGGCAGAGCGAGCGACGTTTTTGGTCGAATCGATATGCAGCATGTTTTCCACTATTGTTTTTATTATGTGGCTTAGAAGCAGTAACAGAACGTGTTAAAGTTTTTTATGCGATCAAATAGTGCTAATTATTGTGTAGATATCCGATAAAAAACTAAAGTGATAGAGAATTTTTGCGGCCTTGCGTTCAGGACTGGACTGACAAAAGATGAAAGAAATGGGAGGGGGGGAAGAAATACAGATTGTACAAAATTGATCGACACTTTACACCATGCAATAATTTTATTTGTCCACGTGGATTTATTTTACATTCAAGAATCCGTTTTCGCGTTTTTTTACTATAGCCGGAAATATATGATAATAATAAACCGAGAATACCAAGAGGTATGTTATCATAAAATCAAAAAGAAAGGTATTATTTATTGTTACTTTCTAAGGGGACGAACATATATTACACAATTTTCAGAGGGGAAGGGTGGGTCTCAAAAGTTCATCTTCCACGTGATTTACACGTGACCAAATATTAAGTATAATAAAAATCTCACCTGGGGGAGGGAGGGTCAGCTCTATAGTAACTCAATATTACGTAATATATGTCCGTCCCCTAACTCTGTTTTTATTTTTCTCTCGGTTTCGTCATACGAAAAGACGAGGTTGAAACAATAGTAGATAATAAAATTTCGCATTTTTATCGACGAAAATTTTTACTCCACATTACATTACATTACATCATTATATTTCTTTTTATGCTTTTGTGCGAAATGCTGGGTATTTTTGGTTTTATTCTGGTTATTTATTTAGATGAGTGTTTTTTTAACAATGTTCTTGTATTTGGGTAAACTATACGCCATATAATTCTATATAATAAAGTTTGTATTATAATAATAATTTATTTTCATAATCCAACAATTGCTCATATACGAGATCTTTTTTGGTTATATTGTTCATTATATTCTCCCAATAATAATAATTCAAGAATTATTTTTCATTCATAAGGTTTTCGATACCGATTATTATTATCTTTCGAGTTGATGTTATAGTCATTGTTATTGTTACCCGAACTTGAACTCCGAAAATGACTTTTATTGTAATCATTGCCGCTGACCAATTTATTGTTACTGGTATTATTGTTATTGTTATTGTACGGAAGAATGCTTCCATTCGAAATCACAGGTTTCGAAAACGCCATGAAATCCCTGGTTACCAAAGAATTATTATTCTTGGTAGTATGAATATCCACCGTTCGGGACGCGTAAGCGTAGTCGTAATCATCGTCATTATCAACATCAGAAAAAGAATACCAACGAAAACATTTCGATGGATCTTTACATCCTCCGTCACAATATACATTCATATTCGGTACTTCCTTTTGAACTATTTGATGGTATGTGTTATTATTCTTCAAGCTGAGTGGTGTTTCGATGATTTCTTGTTTGATTACAGTTTGCAGTGATGGCGATAGAGGTATTTCTTCGTGTAATTTCTCGCTTGGATCTTTTTCGGCAGAAAGTGATAATAACATTATCTCATCTTTTTCAAAGCTACCGGTAATTGCTTCACAACCAGTAGGTCGAGACATCAGCCTATCTTTGACGGTTTCGCCCGGTTTTTTTAGTTGCTTATATCGTGTTAAATCGATGCTTGAATCAATTGTCGGTGCAATCGATCTCAAATTGCCAAAATCACCGATGTGGTTATTGAATTTTTGCTGTTTTTCTTTCTCCGCTTCCCCTCGGTGCTTTGCTCTCGTATCTTGCACGTTTTTCTCTTTAAATTTCCACTCTTTCTTCGTAGCAAGAAATTCTTCCGAATGTATAATCTCAATAAAAGGATTATGTCCATTCATCTCGCTAATACAACGCTCAGAAACTAAACTCGTTTTATCACAACGCGTTCTAGCACAAGTCTCATCGACATCCATACTATAATACGATTTTTTATTCTTATTCTTATTCTTTTTTGGTATTGAAGAATCATCGATCACGTTCCCGTAGATCTTTTCATAAAAAGTATTTTCGCCATCATCTTTTTGGACAGAAATAGCCATCTTATTCTGAAAAGTATCAAGAATCCCGATTTGTTCCGGTAAAGAACCCGGCACATATCTGATCCCGTGTTTCTCGAGAGTTTCGATACCTAACGCGATTATTTCGGCGACTTTTAATGCACCGTCGATTGGTCGTTGTGGACCTTCTGGAACTGAGGAAATTAGAAACCTTACGTGACAACGGAGTTCTCTGATGGTGGTTGCAGAGAGGATGGATGATTCTGCTGATTTCAGAGGCGGTTCAAATTCAGTGTTAGAATGATAGTAGATTAGGTGTGTGGGTTTAGAGGAAGACGTGTGTCCTGTTTGTGATTCTGTCATTTGAGTAAATTAATAACTGGCACAGGAAAAAGTGTCACAATATAAACCACAAATATCCTATATTTGGAAGAATAGAAGCAACTGATTGATTTAAATGGAACAAAGATGTTTTTCTCTCAAACAAGGAAATCAATGTGTTAATCAAACAAGTCTAACGCATTTAACCTTCAACACCTGAGTTTAATATATTATCAGACTAAGTCAATATGTCTCGTGATAAAGCGCTAAAAATGGATTCTTTATTCGACCAATTCAGATAGAGAAATAAAAAGATTATCATTGGCCCGCACGTTATTTTCGATGTTTTTTTGCTTTTCAATTTTTCTAGTTTGACCAATATCAAAAACTTGAATAGTATCAAGAAAAAAAAGAGAAAAAGAATCATAATAAAGTTTTAGGAGGTTTTGAAAAAGAGTGAGAGAATGACGATAATGATAATGTAGTAGTTAGTGATGAATAATTCATCATCAAATAACAACAAAAGGAGACTAAAAGGGAAAAATAAAAAATCAGCTTAATTTATTTAAATGTAAAAAATTTAAAATCACTTATATGTTTCGGAAACCTTTAAATAACATAATAAAATAAAAGAAGGTTAAATTAAAACAATAATTTTAACTATTTGGCATAAAGTAATAAAATCCATCCCGGTCAATCGTTTGAGGTGATAAATGCTCAGAAATAGTGGAAGCAATTGGAATCCGTTGATGTTGTTGATTATTTTGATCATGATGTTGCCTTTGAGCAGGAGAAAATCCGATAATTCTAGGTGATGACGTTGATGGTGGTTCTTTTGTTGTCGGTGATTCTCCAGGATGCGATAATGGACTCGGATATGGATCATAGAATCCTAATTGTTGATGATCATAATGATGATCATGATGATCATGATGATGATCATCACCATGATCATGGTAGAAACTTTGTTGTTGTTCATGAAAAGATGAACAACTGGTTGTTGAATCAGGTGAAGATTTCGTCGTCGTCATGGTTATAGTTCTTGCAGTTGACATATCGTGATGTAGATTTTGAATTTGCATATTTTGTTGTTGATGATAAGTTGTATTTGTAGCATTATCATTGCTATTACTATTGTTGGAGGTAATGACATCACAAGAGCTATCATTCGAGTGTATTACTGTTCCATTATCACTATCACTACCACAACTATTATCACTACTATGAAGACAATCAAATTGGCCGAATTCAGGATGATACAAAAAAGAAACTTGTTCTCCAGAAGTCATCCAATTATGTTGATGCGTAATATCGTCAGCATTTTTAGTTTGCTGTTGTTGGATTAATCGCGATCCATTAAAACCTGAGTCCGGATCATAATTACAAGTATCGAATGTAGAAATGGATTCACCCGAGGAAGAAGTTGATGATAATGTATTTGTGTTGCATACGGACGAAGGACGGCGACGTCTTGTTGGACGCGAGTTCTTGATGTCAGCTGTATAGACTATGATATCAGTATAACTTTTTCAGTTTGACTGATCATGGTGATAATAATTTATTTACCTTTTTTTGCACTTCGCTTCGGAGGTCTTTTAATTGACGAGGATGAAGATGTTGACGGTGAAAAAAATGGTATCTCCTTGTTAATAGTTGGTGTTGTGGTGACAGAATTGCAAAAGTCACGCGCGATTTCGGTTTGTTGTGTTTGTTCAGTTGCGATCATTTCAAAAGAGTTCTCAATCAATCCATTCGTCACAGCATTATTTTGAATTTGAATGTCCATTTCATCGATTTCTTGGTTTTGTTGTTGCTGCTCTCGAATAACAGACACCAATAATCCAGTTTCTTGATTTGATGCGATTGAACTAACAGCATCTAATTTATTAGCCGAAGACGACGGTAAGTCATTAGTTACGTGTATCGCATCGTCAGTGCCAGTACAACTGCTGCTGGTTTTGGATACATTATCACTATCAATATCTTCATCGCCGCCATTATCAGTTTTTTCCTTGTCATTATCACCACGAGTAATGGAAATGGATAGATCGTGAGATGTAGCTTGATTTGAAGATTTTTTGGTTTTATCAGTATCTACGCTTGTCATACTTGCACACTTTTGATTATCAATCAGTCAATCAATCAATCAATCAGTCAGTCAGTTAATAGATATATAAAAACCAATAACAATACAATAATACTCACATATTTATTTACAATTTTATGAAGTGCATTGGCCAAATGCTTCCACGGAAACACCTTGACATTCTTTTCGATATTTCTCGGTTTCGGATTCGAGAATCCCATGATCAATCGAAATAAATCATCACTGTCCTTAGAATTTTTCCCAGCAGTCAACGGCTTAAACCCTTCCAAATTCCGACGAATTCTATTCTTCTCCTCGACAGTGAACCGCACAGCAATCAATGCTTCTAAAAGCGAAACACAATCAACAGAAGTGATATAATACTCGTTTTTGGATTTCCACCAAATACATGAAACAATAATCGCATTCGGTGTACGATCTTCATGATTCAATGCTGCGAACGACGCGTGGATAAGATTGTTTTCTTGACGACGTCGGAACTGAACTAGCCGTCGGCAATTTGTCGTTTCGTATTCGGTCCAGTTTCGTACCATTGTGTTGAGGTCTCCTTGAATTTCCAATTTTGTGTTTCGTAGCATTTCTACTATGGATTGTTTGTCGGGTAACGCCGTCATCATATTGTCGGAAGAGGCGGCTAGTGGTGTTGATGAAGGGACCACCGGGGGTTCTTTGAGTGTTGTTGATGGTCGTAATGCCCATGGCATTTGTAGTGACATATAGGGAAAAAGTGGCCATTGTGAGGCGGTTGTATAGGATGGGTCAACTACGGGTGTGACTTCTATTGGGATCTCAAATCTTGAACCGTGTTCTTCGGGAGTAAGGTGTTCTTGATTGGTAAAATGAGTGGAAAATGGATATTCATGAGATGATTCTATATCCAAGCTTTCTGTTTTGTATAGATAGAGAATGTTAATTGTCGGCTTTTATGGCATTAAAGTAAATAAAACGCGTTTTATGAAATAATAATACCATGAGGAGAATTTGACGAGAGCAATTGTTGAACCTTTGTGGGAGGCGTTAAAGCCGGTGAGGATTCTGAAGACGACTCTTCCGCAGCAACGCTGACATAGCCTTTTGGTGAATGATGATATACTAAAGGACGAACCAAACTGGGCCGTCGAGATGATGATTTAAAATTTGATGTAATGCTGGGTTCTACATATTAAATTTAAAGAATGAAAACGTGTTCAATTTATGGTCCATTCATTGATTTATTGATTTTACCATCTAAAATGTCTTGTTGAGCATAATGAACTTTTGTATGTTTGACTTTTCTTTGAGTACTTGTTAATTGATCTATGTGAAATAATAATTATTTGAACCAATGACTTTTACCGAAAGTCACGCGAATCACCAAATTTATTATTTATTATTTATTACCTCGAAATTGATACGAGAAATTACCGAAATGCCAAACATCATAAATCTGACCCTTCTCATCCAAAATATACACATACAGCGGTACACGATTCACGATACTTTTAGTGCACGCGAACGGTGGCACAATGGTCGTAAGACGATGCTTAGTATCAGTGAGCGATGCAAATTGTTGTGATAACACTTTTTGGTGCCCAAACGCCAATTCTAGGTGAAATTCTCGATCGGTCGGGAGCGCAATGTCAAATTCCGCAGAAAAAGTTGTGCCTTCTTGGCCAATATGTGGATCGAAAGCCACCTCACGAATTGGTGACAGTGGAGGTGTTGTTTCGGTGGCTTTTGTGATTGGTAGATGTACTTGTGGCGGTGGTATGATGACTGATAGGGATGATGCCACGTTGTGGTGATAATGATTGTTGCGTGACGGTGATGATGAGAATTTTTGACGGTGATTTTGTGATTTTGTGGATCCTTATTATTAAAACAAATAAGAGGTTATTGACCAATGTCACATCCTCGTATATATTACAAATACTTACTTTGCTGTTGATGCATGTTTCTATACGAATATATATCAAGATATATATACAATAAAGCACAAAGAAAGGTAATAATTAAGGTATTTACTGCGTCTCTTACTTTTTCCTTTTTGAGCACTGCTCATTCGGGTGGATGTTATATATTACAAGTGTGAAGAAGAATATTGAAAGTATGCTTGTGCAAATATGTAAGAGTAAGAGTAGTACTCTGCATGTACCGAGTTCAAGTATGTATATGTAATGTAGAAATAGCAAAGTTGCAATTCCCGAACTTTGTGAATTCGAAATGAACCTTTGGCTGCTTCCTCTTTCTGAGGTTAAAGAATATGTTGTAACTTTGGACGTCTGTTTAGTTTTTTGGTTTTGTTTGTGAGAAAAATAGAGAAGATATTAGACTAAATACTGAAAAAAAGCTAAGCTGAGAAAAACCTAACATAATAGTTATATTGTTGTCGTTTGTGTAACAATCCCGGATTTCATTTATTTCTCGAATCCTAGCCTCCCATCACGCTACTCTACAAAGGAAAATACTGATACTTCGATCATTGGCTATTTTTTCTATTTACTCTATATTAAGAATGCTGTTTGTATTGTAATCGTTGCTCTTCAAAGTCTTCTTCGTTTTCAGGCCCTCAAATGATTTTCACTCACCTATTTTTAATGGTGTTATTTATTTCGAGTAGTGAATGTCGGATCTTCGACGATCATTTATAAAAGAAAGTAGACGAAATTGAGATTCGAAAAACGAAGTTTTCAGCCTAAAGAGAGTCGAAAGTTTATTACTATTATTATTATTATTATTATTTAATATGTATTATTTATTTATTTATTTATCCTTTAGCTTTGATTTGATTATTGTGTGGATTAAGGACTAAAGGTGATGATGATGATGATGATGATGATGGTGGTGGTGGTGGTGGTGGTGGTGGTGGTGGTGGTGATTATGATGATGATTGCAATAACCAAAAAATAAGAGAATAAAAATTTCTATTGAGGATCTCGTAAAGAAACGAACGAACACGTAAAATATAAAAAATGAAATGAATTAAAGAACGGATCAAGTACCAAAAAATAAAAGATAAAAAAAAAACGAACAGAACGAACGAACGAGCGAGGAAAAGGAATTTATCGAAAACCTTTTTAAGGTATGCTAATTAATAAAATTATGAATGATGAAATATTATGTAGTAATAATAATAAGAATAGTAATAATAATAATAATATATCAATCAATGAATTATTATTATATTTTTTTGGCAGTATATACACGCCAAAAGGATTATATGATTGATCACCTGGCGGACGGGCATCGTTATTGACAATTCTATTTATTAATTTGATTTTTTAGTAGTTGTGGCGAGCAAGTGGCCGTTTAGTTCGCTGTTGATGAATGATGCGATGCTTGTTGTAAGAAAATAGTTGATTGTTGTTCGATTGAAATGGGAATCGAATTCTTGATGATAGTATTAAAACTTCTATGACGATAAATAATATAACATATATCAAATAATAATTGATTTGTACCAATCATATTAATTTTATTCGCAAGAGTAGGATGAGTATATATAACGACAAGTATAAATAAAATCGTTCGAACGGGATTTTCTTATTGTTTGTTTAGACGCGTACGATTCTTTTTTTCCGGTTATGCAATGCATTTTTTTTAATATACGCATATACATATACATATATCTATATCTATATACTATACGCAAAATATAATATAAACAATACTTTGGTTCTAAAATGCTCACGCGCACGCGTATTCTCTTTTTGTCTTCTGCTGCTGCTTCATACAATCGTATCGTATCTTTTTTAAGCTCACGTCCTTTTCCAAGAACTTTCTATTTTTCATCCTTTTTTTTCCTACATTTTAAAACAAAATAAAAATCAATATTTCACTTCAACAATTTGAATTTCCCCAAAGATAGCAAGTAATTTAAATAAAAAGTCCAATCTAACCAAAAAAAGGAATCAAGACATGCGAAAACAAATATAAAAATAATCAATATTCTCCGTTCTGTCTGTATATCTCTGACATGCAGGTTTCACTTGTGTCAAAAAATTAATCAATCAAATTAACCTTTTACCAAAGAAGTTGCAAATTGGACTACGTACGTATATATAATGAATTACTTAATGGCTCGTGCGCAACTAATTCTCCTGAAACAAATATCCCGAGAGCCCCACGTCCAGGGCATTCGTAATCGCTCAGGCCATCTTTAAGACCGTGATCTCATAAACTTATTATTTAATAACTCTGGCAGAGATTAAGATTTTGAGAATAGCATTAAAATAATAATAAGCATATACGTACCTTATTCTTGTCATTTTGCGAAAAATTGATATAATTATTATACATGTACGTAATACATAACATATGCATATGTACAATACTAAATAGCCGCATCTTTATATACATATATGTAAGAGTCTGCAGGCAAAGTTTATTTTCAGAATCATACGATACTTTGATAAATACGTAGTCATCAATGAATAATAATTGTAATGGCAAATTCGGCAAATTCGGCAGTCGAAATTGATTTATTAAATTACTGTAAATTGTTCTAATTAGAAATCGTTAGCTTTTTTTAATGTATCTCCGTTTTATTTTTTATATAAAGGAAAAGAGTTCAATGTGCAATTATTACTACTGATAACCATTTCATTCCCTCTCTTGATGAAAAATGCAACTAGTAAACTTTCGAAGTGGTATACTTGCAAGTTTATTTGAATAAATCTATAATTGGAAAAAAGTGATGGCGATGTCTATCACAAATGATCGATTTAAAATATTAACGTTAAATTTATTACGATACCTAATTGCCCGAATCAAGATTCACGTGTACAACTAAGTTCTAGACGATCCACATTAATATTAAGGCTTGAACATTTTAGCAGTCTCATTTTTTAAGAAATGATTAAACGTGCGTGTTACAAGTAAATAAAGGGTTGAATCAAATTAAGTGAAAGTGTAGTATTAACGCCGTTGTTGTTGACGATGACACCAATAACCAAACCATTCAACTGATGCCTTTTTAGAATCACTTTCTTCGTCTATATTTTCATTAGTAAATAAATAAGATCGCTTTAAATTAATAATCGTGGATTGTTGGCACTAAAGTTTTCTTCTACGAGGTTAGCATTTAACGGATACTCTATGTAATCTTGATATTGATAATCCTCAGGTCGGTCAAGAGTTTTCATTTGGTGATGAATTGATATATTATTATATCATCTTCAGACCGAAAGTTTTTTCATGTTCACTTTCGTCGGACGGAGTTCCGGGATTGGAGTCACTGTCGTCATCGATATTTGGAAGATTACCTGTACTATTTGCTCTCGTGACTTCGTGATCTCATATCTAATACATTATTTTGCTATCTCCGAGTGTGAAAATATATTTCTCTTCCCTGCTGTGCATAATAATTTCCTTGAGATATCGAGATTACAAGATGAGCTTCTTGCAGGACAAAGTCGTCATCATAATTCGTTTAATCTCATTCGGATCCGAACGGTGATCAGGTGCCTTAGATCTAGCATATTCAAGTATGCAGAACCAAGACAGATCTTGGTCGTCGTCGTTATCGGGTTATAGAGTACCTGGAAAGGGCATTTCGTTTTCTTGGAAGCTTCATTTGCGTAATAATCATAATCATCATTAATGCTATACACAGAAATGCTCACTGTTGTAGCTAGTTCCCTGGAATAATTTACATCCAATTTCGTCTTCTTCAATGATAATAACTTCTTGATCATTAAAACCATCTTCACATTTATCATTATCCTTATATTAGATTGAGGTGAGTTAGTCCTGAGTTGCTTCAGTACCAGTTTTCACAGCAATAAAAAAACTCATTTGTGTTGTCTATATATATAGTATCTTGTTCATCCTATGTACACGCTTAGGTCCTGATCCGAATCATCTTCTCAAGTCAATTCCACTTCCACAAATGTGTGTGTATATACATATATATTTATCGATATATATCAAAATTTGAGACCTAACGCCACTGCCGATCTTACCTTCAAAATTCTCATATTGTCGGCGTTTAAAGGTAGACATAATAAGTTATTTGTAATAAAGAATATAAGTAATTTTTGAACACGAGATGGTTTTGAGGATATGTTGACTGTTTCAGATACTCGTTAAAAACTAATCGATTCATTAATCAATATCTACGGGTAAGTTAATTAGATTATGGCATTAATCTAGACATACAGATGTAGCGATATTCCGTTATAACGGTACTCTATTGTAATGATCTCCATAATGGACTTCGTTATAACAATGACAACCCAAAAACTCTAATATATTTTTTACGTAGCATCATGCCATGCATCAAGTAACGTGTCTTCTTTAACTTTGATTATTCTAGGGTGCTATTGCAAGCATGATTTTTAAAAATAATGATTGATAGATATAACTGTTTATTAATTATTGGTCAATTCTTTTCTCGTCATTATTGGCGACGATATTTCGACATTGGTGCCAACTATCTTTAAAGCAAGTATTTAGTGTGTTTCGTGTCATTGTTTCTCTCTCACGAAGCTTTTGCTCTATAATAAGTTCATATTTTGAAAATTCTGTGTCACCCCTATCACAGAGAACAAATTGTGGCGGTATCAACTCAGTGATGGTAAATGACCAGGTCATTTGCTCATTTTGTAATGATCTCGAAATGACCTGTCATTTGTCATGTGATTGATTTGTCAACCAATAGAGTTTCAGTGAGTCATTTTTATTCACTATAATGACGTTCAAAGTTTAATTTTAATTTTATTGGATAAATGAAGATTGTGAGGTCACTTGACTTTTTGAAATGACCAGTCACTGGTCATTTGTCATCGGAGTCATTTGGGTCATTTAAAGTCATTTACCATCACTGGTAGCATCACACATTACGATTCTATATAAATAAAAGTCGAAGTATTTTCTTTTTCTATTATTAATTGCAAATGATGATCCTTAAACGATGAGTTCATCAATCACTAAACGAGTTATTTCATTGATTTCTGATGTTATCTATCAAGAACGTGATAATTTGATCTCTTCATTTGCGCACTGAGCGATGATTGTCATTGTATTTGTGGCATATTTAATTTTACATATATCTTTAGAGCTTGGTTATTATATTATCAGTAATAGCAGTAATAGATAATTGATTATGCATCAGATTTCTAATTATACGTCTTGGCTTTATACTAATGGATTTCTTGAGTAATAAAATAGATACCAACACATACAATATTTTACTGTATGCCTTAGATTGTCAACTCAAGTCCCGTAGCCAGCGCATTACACATAATTACCACTTGTAAATTGTTGTATAGTTCTATAATTTCTTAATTAGGAAAAGGTTATGATTGGTCTTTCATTATCAAAAGTTTAGTATTGAAATCGAGAATGTTAAATTATCGGTACGCTGTGGAATGTCTAGACTTCAAAAATTAGTACTGCAATTGTTTTCTTTCTTAGCATTGAACCCGAAGCTGTTATATCATAAGGTGAAGCATTTGTGTTGTGTGAAACCAATCGAGGTCATATTTTATAAATTTTAAAAAAATCATCAGTATGCTATAGTCCCCCAAGTTGCCGACTTGTACTAATTCTTCTTCTTTCTCCTCAGTGCTTCTCCACCAGAGCATGTCAATAAACCTGATGCTTCCAGTTACGTATGTTTTTTTTATTCTACTAATTTATATTATCATTTGCAATAAACTTGAAGAGGGAATCAAAAACAGAAATTTCCCTTCTATGAAGAAGTTTGTAGATCAAATTGCAGAGGTCTTGAATCATTTCAGGCCTCTTCTCTCAAGATTTTTACAGGTATCTACATACTTATTATATAAATTTATCACTTAAATTATATGTATTTGATACAATCATTAAATATTTGTTTTTTTTTAGCACCGAGCATTGTGATATACAGACTTGAACGAACATATCATTTGACTTTTCCGGTAGTGGCTATATGCTATCAGTAAGTTGTTGATAGTAGGTGTCGTGATGACCTCCATTTTAAGACAATAAGGAAAGATAAGAAAGCAGAGAACAATTATTGTCATAGATTAGCATAAAGTCTTGATGCATTGTAAATTCATCTTCGCAAGTCTCTGCCAATCGTCCGAATATTCCCAAGGAACTTTTGTACCTCTTCTTTTGATATAGAGGTTACATTATTCCTTGGATGAGATGATCCGAGTGAGCGACAATTATTTTTACATCATATATTTGATGCAAATGTGCTCACAAGGATTTCAGTTCTAGTCCGGAAGAAGCGTTACCGCGCATTCCTCCAGCTGCCACATTCTCCGATCGACGACTACTATAAATGCATTATACCGGCATAAATCGCACTTTGCTCAGCCATACCAAACCGGATGAAAACTAGAGTCATCCGTCTCATCCCGGCAATACTCCCCACCACGGTTCATTCAAATCTTACGGCATTCTTCGGAAGAACTGAATTATAATATGGGGTCGACCCTTAGCCTAATGCAAAATTTACTACATGTATTAATTAATAGAAAAAACTTGGTTACATACATATATTAGTAACACAAACACTGATCAGCTATTCAGTTCCCATTATCATTGCATGGGAAAAATAAAAAAAAGGGGGAGATGATTCTTGTTCCTGAACCTGATCTTGTCAAAGTATGTGTAAGTAATCGTGTTACGAGAGGATAGCGATGCATACTATCACAACATATAAATTTATGGCTAGTTACTGTATGAGTCATACATATATAATACATGTACGTTCTGTTATCTTTTTGGGAATTTAGATTTTTCGAGATTACAATTTTTTTCCTAGATAAAATCGAATTTGGGTGTTCCCGCTCAAAATTCATTTAATTTTGTAATTTTGATCAACAATTCCGTCCATTATGATGCAACGTAAAATACTAAACGTAAAATCTTCAGCGAACCATTGCCATGTACGTGCCACCACGATTATTGGTAACGCACACAAAAGAGTAGAAACCATTGGTTGATGATAAAACATCACGTAGCTAATTTCATAGATTTTGATTTGCTGAACATGAAATTTCAAGAGCAAAAAGAAAAACCTCGACTAATTTTGCCATTACTATTATTTGAATTATGATTATAAAACTAAGCTATTATTATTATTCCATCAAACACCACTGCCTTTTTCAGTACCCTCACTTTTTTTATTACGACGTTGTCGTCGTTATCTTAGAACAACACGACTTACTTTCCCAATACTTTTTATTCCTACTTCAACGAAAAAAATTTATATATTACTATAATTCACCCCCAATAAAAAATCACACTATTTCACCCCTCACAATACTCTCAGTCTACAAAGAAAAAATATTTCGTCTTGGGTCGTCGCCGCCGCTTAGCTCTTCCCATAAGCTGTTGTTAATTCTTTTGCCTTACGAAAAAAACTACTACGCCAAATAAAAGTTGCTAATTAGCCTCAGTAACAGTTGGAATGTAAGTATATTGATCTATTTTGCGTTGCATGTTATTTTATTGTATAGTAGTAATCTTTATTTCACCGTGTAGCGTTGTCTTTTTGCCATTACTCTCTTTTGCTACTCTTTAATTCTTAACTAGTCTCGTTTTTCTCTCTTGTTTGCCCCCCTCTTCTCTCTTCTACCACTCGATAACTTTCTTCTCTACTACCATCAAAACAAAACCAGGCCGACTAAAAGCAGTAAAAGTCACTCAAAAACCAAGGGCAAAAGCAAAATGGACGAGGAAATTGTTCGTTGTGTGTGTGGCCAACGTCGTAACTATCCTTTTTTTTATTTTCCTATTAGTCGTTATTTCTTTTTCTAGCAACAACTAGCAAGACCAGCACTTGACACACAATATTCATTTGTGCATTTTGTTTCTCTCTCGATTTGCCATTTACCTTTCGCAGAGAACGATGAGTTACCCATGGTTGCTTGCGACCGTTGTTTTGTTTGGCAGCATATGGAATGCACTGATTACAAGGAGGAAGTAAATTCAGCATATCTTTGTGAACAATGTGCCCCTAACCAACACTCTTACCTTCAGTTTGGTTTCAAAACGTTAGTATGAATGTGAATTTTTTTCATTTTAACTCGTATATTCCAAAAAAAAAACTTTTCAATTCGTTGGACTCAAAAAAAACACCCTTTTCCAATTGCATTCGTTCTCTTTTAGTCACATTGAATATGTAAAAGCCAAAAAAAAGGAACCAAGGGAAATCCAAAATCACCAAACAGAGCAACAAGACCACCCAAATGCCAATAATACTACAACAAGCACTACTATTAACAATAGTCACGGTCACGGTCACAGTCGACGTCGTTCAACTGCCAGGACCCTCTCACAAAATGACATTGACTTCTCTTTCGAGTCTTCGTCTCAAACTAGTCGGTCGAATAGTAGCAATAGCAACAGCAGCACTACACACAGAAAGTCATCCTTGAAACATAATGACCATCAATTAAATGGAAATAGCAGTTCGGTAAAAGTACCGAAAAGAAAACAGTCGGTCAGTTCTCTTAGTGGAGATGAATCACTAAGCAATGATAGTAATCATAATAACAACAATCATAAATTCAATGGTGAGATAGCGAATTCTACTGATAATCATAATAGCACTAAAAATAACGGTGGTTCTAATAATCATAATGCATCGTCGCCCTCTTCGCACAAACAACAACGTACTCGAAAATCGAAAAAACAGAAACAACAACATAGAATTGTGAGCAGCTCAGATGTTGAATTAATGTCCGAGACTGAAGAGCTACTGGATATTAGCGACGCTCAATCAGAAATTAAATTATCGCCACATCCATCATCAGTAGAAGTCCACCATATTAATGGCGAATGTATTCATGAAGATCGTGACAAAGGTAATTCAATGATATGATAAATTTTCACTGCATGTGTAATATTTTATAATTCAGATATTGATTCAGAGTATACTTTTTACTTACCAGAATCCAATTTTGATCCGATTACTAAACAACATACAGAAGTTAAAAAGCCTAAACCCAAAAGATCCAGGTCAGCACTCGCAGTTGAGAACATGACTGTCGAACAGATGTTGGAAAGAGTACGACGCATGGCACAATACGTCGAAAAATTTGAGAATGAACACACTTCTCGTCAAAACATTAATGGATCGGTAAGTGACGAAGAAGAGACTTCTGGAAATACCAAAAAGAAATCTCGAGAAACCGTTAGTTCCTCGGCGTTACCTGTTTTGATAACACCATCGCCAAGTGACCACACAATGACACCAGAACCATATTTCGTGTCTTCACCTCTCGATTGTGACGTAACAATGAATAGTCCTCCGACTACCGAACACTCACCTGAAAAAGAAGGCACGACTTTGATTGACCAATGTGAGGAATTGAGGAAACGAATTTGTCGATTCGAGCAAACTTATGGCGATCAGATACAAGCTGACGATGAACAAAAAATAATAATATAAAAGCATTATTGTATAAACATTTATATTATCAAAATCAAAATTATGGTAGTCTCGTTTGAATTAAAGTTTACTTATTGAAGTCCTTCTCCCCGTTGCATATAACACCAACTTCCCAATATTATACCAAAATTTACATGTGCCTTCGTTTTTTTTTTTCAATGTTTGTAGCATACCAATTTTCCTTATTCCCTTTCAAAGTTGGTTAACAAAAAAAAAAGATCTAAATCAAAATTATTCAGACGTCAATTTCTCCTCATTATTGCTCTACTATTATCCACAATGTAGAAGAATTCAAACAAAATTTTCCCTTGTTATATGAATTAAATGATTTACAAACACGAGAAAACTTGTGGATCCTTTAAAAATTGTTGATAATTTTCGCATTCATATTATTGTTAAAATCATATTTCTTTTTCTTCTCTCTTCATTGTTAAAGTTGGATCGGTCAGTCTATTCTCCAGTTTTCCTACTTGCTTGTGTATGATGAAAAAGTGTATATTCCCCCTTTTCTTTTTTTTCTTTTTTGTAAATAAGTATACGGTTACTATTTTTTATCCCTTTTCTCGTTCTCGTGGAGTCTATCGATCACGTATTTGTGATTCTAGACCTGTGTTTGTGGCGTGTTTCTCATCATTGTCTTTGTTAATATAATAATAGTTAGTAAGTAGTTATAGATAAAAATAAAAAATTCTTGAAAAAATTCTAGTGTTAATAGGCTATATTATTTATATATATGGAAAAGTTCGTTTTGGTATTTATGTTGGGGGGGGTTGTGTATTAATGCTAGGATTTAAATTTCTATAACCAGGATGGCGACAGTTAAAATAATACCTAATCTAACGTTGTATAACTGGTTATTCCCAACTGATTGATCGGAAATCAAGGTTCACTTTTTTGGAAACAATTCAAATTGCTGTTACCACTTAAAGCAATTAGAAATAACGTAGCTGTGATTGGTTGGATGGTTCTCATCAATTAGATTTATATAATTTAATTAATACAGTAAAATCAAACAGAAGAAAATGAGTCAGATTTAAGAAACGATGAGTCATATTTAAATATAACTTTAGCCAAACTTTGAGGATCAGGTTTTGGCGAGACTACACTAACGTCAACAGATCTATTCATTATTAGATGCTCTTTTGTGGTAGGCCCAATAGCCGCAACTTTGATCCATTTCCAGAACTTGAGATTTTTTAACGTAGGTAATGCTAAATCAACTCCTGATGGACTAAAAAACACTACCCAATTGAATGGTATCTGTTTTTCTTGATCTTGATTTGTATTTGGCTCTTCATTCTCACAAATGTTTTGTAATTCCTGAGTGAAATCCAGTCTAGTTATTGATTCGTAAACCATGAGTTCTTGCAAATTGATGCCAGTCGGTTTGAGTTTATTGACAAGCGTGTCAAGACGTTTATCACCCACAAGAAATAATAATGATGATGATGATGATATTTTAGTGTCATTATTATTCTTATTAGCATTATAAAAGTCTACAATAAAATCTGCTAATAATTCCGCATTTCCGGATTCTTTTGCTCCAATTGGAGTAAATCCAAGATCGCGTGTCGCGATATTTGCAGTCGTATTACCGACCACGAAAAAGGGCAGAGATTTCCATTTGGTTTGAATATTGGGCGATATATCTGTTATAATAATAACAATGTCAACAATAATAATACGAAGAGAGAGACACAATTTTCTTTTCAATTTTAATAAGAAGACAAATTTTATTTATATTTTAATGGTTTTCATTTTTCTTATTACCATTTTCTGCTGCTTTCCAAGCCTCTGCGAGTGCTTTTACGGCACGTTGACTAGTCACTACAATACCCCAAATTATTGAAGCATCAGGCCCATTTTTCAACAATGTTGATAACTCCTCAGCATTGGTTAAATTAAATTGTAAAATAGGAAGAAATTTTGTTTCGTAATTGTGTAAAGCAAATGGTTTTTCATATGAAACTTCTTTGTCTTTGAGTAATAATACAGTTGGCAACATGTTAAATAAAATTATTTGTCCTTTTTATGGCAAGTAGTACAGATACATTAAATGTATGACACCATCATAAATCATTCTTTCACGTGCCTTTCTCCAGGTATTTGTTTCTTTAATTCACGACTCTGTCCCTCGATACCTTATCTCTTCCCTATTTGTAAGTAAGTGCATTCTTTATCAATCGCATTCTTATTTTTCTTTCGCAGTATCGTTTCAACAAAGAATTTTGCCTCGTGTCTTTTACAAGGTTTTGACGCGTCTTTTTCGGCCTTTCTTGTATAAATAAAGAATTATTATTTTTTTGTATTCTTGATTTTTTGAGAATCTTTACCTCTCGTTTCGTAAGTTCTTTTTTCTCAAAATTCTTGTGGAGCCGCGTTGGATGTATCAGGTATGTGATTTCTGTTTTTGAAGGAAAGCATCTTTCCAAACCTAATATTGCATTCAATATATGAAGGATAAACTTATACATCTGTGAATATACCAAATAAAAATACATGCGCATAGCCAACAGCCTCAGCTGTGAGATCGAGAGCGAGCACACAAGAGTAGGCGTAAACTGTCCTTGCAACAATTTATATGTTCGATTATCTTAAATCTTGAGTTGCCATATACCTTTCGTGTATTTTCAATTATAATATTTGATTGGCTTCGATCAATTGCTAGTGCTGTCACAGTACATCTGAATTCTATTTTACATGTGGGATGACAGAATCTTACCATAACGATAAGGATTTTGAATCATTCCATTTTATGTTCGTAATTCAACAATTCCTTGGCAGATCGCCTTAAAAGTAATACATAGTAAAATCAATTACAAAAAAGAAATTACTAAATAAAAAACTCACTACAGAAGATACGGTAAACACTCTAGTCTATTTAGATTCTTAGACGATGCACTTCGAGTTCATTCTGATTATAAATATACATACCGATACATTTTTTCCGAGTTCGGCAAAATATAATCTAAACTCAAAATTTGTTTCAATAAGTGAAAATCACTTGGCCATATTATGATTAGATCAATTTGATTGGCTGCTACGTGACCAATATTTCTATTGGTAAATTCTATCTCTATAGATTTTAAAGATACCCTATTTTTATTTTTGAATTTAGATTTCCGGCACCATATAAATCAAAATTCATTTTGAATTAAGAAACAAGGACTCAAAATGTTATTATTAATATTATTAGTACGTATATACTTTTTAGGGTTAGTAACGACCTCTATTTTAGCATCGCGTGTATCAATTATTCATGCAGCAATGGTAAATTATGGAAAGTTTCGCGATCAAAATCAGAAAAAAATCAAAAAAGATGGTGACAATAATTGTGATACAAAACACGATTCCATGATTGAGCGCAACTCATCTTTTCGGAGACGAACATCATCAAATTCATCACTGACGAAATTAACAGATTTGTTTGTCGATTTAACAGTGCCAAAACGATGGTTTCGCCATTTTTACGTGTTGGGTGTATTATGGGTTACCTTTGTTACCTATGAATTATTGATTGTTCGAGATACAAATGATTGTTTATTTGTGAGGTTGTTGAGGCATTTTGAAGATTACTATTCAACAACAATATCATTATCCTATCAACAACCTCGTGGAGAATGTGTTCTCGCGTTATTAATGCTTCAGATACAAACGACCAGACGTATGTTTGAATGTTTTTGGGTAGAGCGACCTTCCCTCGATTCAAAAATGCACATCGGACATTATATGGTTGGCATTACTTTTTACTTTATGATGGGGATTGCTGTGTGGATTGAAGGAAGCGGATGGTTTTTAAATACTACTTTTGCTTCAGGTGATTTAAGTACGTAATTTTTTTTAATTCCAATCTTTTATGTCAAGATTTTAAATGAATTTATTTATATATTTTTTATCATTAGTGAATGAGTTTTTGGCTATTCATATACCATTTGCGATATTTTTGTTCATTTATGCGTCTCATCATCAACATATTCAACATAAAATACTGGCGTCTTTAAGGACATCCTCGTCACCAAGATATTCACTTCCAACCGGAGACTGGTTCGATGTAATGTCATCAGCGCATTACTTTTCTGAGATTTTAATTTACATTTCATTTGTCATATTAACAAAAGCAAAGAACTTCACATTATGGCTCGCTTTAATTGCTACTATTTTCAATCTGATTCAGTTTGCAATCGATAGTTATCACTGGGAACATCGAGTTTTTAAAGGAGATGTAAAGTTACAAAAGAAAAAATGGATTATTATTCCTTTTATTTATTGAATAAATGATAGTTATGTATATGTTTTTATGTTTCAAAGTTGTTGAATTAATTTTGATTTTTTGAAAAAAAACATATTTTAATTTGGAACACTTAATTTGAAGCATGATATATCATGATCCACCAGACCACATTTCACCAAAATTCAGCCACTACTCCACTAAATCTCAGTAAATATGTGGCTTTATTTTTATTTAATTTGGTTAAGTATTAATAATATTTATTATACATCTAATATCAGGCTTCAAAATTAAACTATTTGAATAAGGATGCACAGTCAAACTTCGCTATGGTAACTATTTAAATTATTATTAAATCCCTTATTAAAATATTGTATATCTATAATCGCATAATTTTTCATAGAGTATTGTTATTGTTATCTTTCACTTTTGTTATTGCCATCCCTCTTCATGTAATAAGAAATGGGTCAGTTTCAAAACCAAATCATAAAGTCACCTATTTGAGATCATGTGTTCACATGATCCAATCACATGCAAGTCTTTTCATAATTATTTCTTGCTAATTATTCTAATCAATCAAAATAAACAAAGAAAATAACTAAGTCTTTTCATAATAATCACTTTTTGCAGGTTTCACACAATAATTATTCTAACTAAACAAAGAAAACAATCAAGTTTCTTTATAATAATTATTTCTTGCAGATTTTATACAATAATTATTATTTTAATTGATCAAAATAATTCTTTTTATAATAGTTACTTTTTGAAGATTTATATAATAATTATTATTCTGATTGATCAAATGAATAATAAAGTTTTTTTTAATAGTTATTTCATGAAGATTTTATAAAATTTATTATTATTTTACTAGTATTATCATTTTCATTAAAAAATTTCATAATTACTTAATTATTGATCAACAAAAATTAAGATGTATTACAAATAAATTAATATAATATCATATAACTCAATGATGATCAAATTAATTTGTCTCTTTATTTTTATATTATATCTCATTACACAATTATATTTAGTATATATCATTATTTTTTTAATATCTAAATTATAATATCTAATAATAATATTTTTTGTTTTATTTTCTTTTATTATTTCACTAAAAGTCATTTATTTTTGTATTTTTAATTATAAAATTTATATTTTTATTATTGGTTTATCTTATCTATACCTCTATCATACTTATTTTTATCTTTAATTTCATTATTTTTAATTAATTATTCTTATATTTATTTTTCATTCTTGTTACAATTATTTTTTTATTTTTTAATTTCTTTGTTATAATTATTTATAATTATATTCATACTATTATTTTCTTTTTTTTATAACACTTTTTTACTTAAACTCGTTTTTTCTTATTTTTAATCACTAAAATTACAACTATTTTTTTTTGTATTTTCTTGTTAATGAATTTGTGTAATTTTTTGATGTTTATACTTCTTTTGTATTGTTAGTATTATATATAAATTATAATATAATTTAAAATAGTTATTAGTTATATAAATCATGTAAAAGATTGAAAATATATAAAAGAAGAGTCTCTTGTCACTAAAAACTCTCATGCTCTAATTCTTTTATCTAATAAATAATAAAGTTTTTACTAGTAATATTCTACTTGTAAATATACTATTATTATCTTCAAATCTTAGAATTATAAGTAGTGGATGCTTCTCCATTCTAAATAAGCTGTTGATATTATTACTTTTGATTATTTGGTTTTATTATTTTTAGGTAGTTTCAATAAGTTCTATTTGATTATTTTGATTATTTTTATTTATATTTTGTAATTAACACTCTCAATAAGTCCAATTATTATTTTATTTTATTAGGCATTATTAATAAGTTTTGTTATTTACTTTGAAACTATTTGTTAATTTCTTTACTTCTTTTTGAACTTTTACTTTCTTTTTGAACTTTTACTTTATTTTTGAACTTTTACTTTATTTTTCTATTTATTTTTATTCTTTATTAATAATAAATAGTTAGTTTGTATACAAGCTATCACAAAAGATTTTTAGAATCTTTAGTGAACTCTATTAATTGTAATTCATTTAGTCTTTGTTCTTTCATTATTATATTACTTTATTAATTTATTAATTTCAATAATTTTTGAATTAATGAGAACATTTTGGTGTTCTCTCTGTGGATTACATTCCTTTCTTACTTTTACAATATTATTTTACTTGATTTATTTAATTTCATTATTATATGAATATTCTTTATATTTTTATTGGACAATTAACTAAAAATCACTTTTATGCTCACAAATTTAAACAAGAAAGATAACCTCTTCTAAAAATAAACTCTAAATATTATTGTTATTTGTGCTTTATTTCTTCTGACACTACTTCTAAAAAATTAGGTAATTTTGTTAACTGGATTCAAGCTTTTGAAGCTATTTCTGAATCACATATTATTGAACTCATATTTGAAGATATTTTAAATATCTATTTAATATTACTATTAGAAGAACTTTGTAAAAATATTATTAGACTTGTAAACATTTTATTATATTAAAACAAGAATACTATTCCTGAATAATTATAACTTATTCAACTTGTAACAAATTATATTCATAATCAAGAAATCTCAAATCTTTCTAATAAAAATTACTCAGAAACCAATGAAAATATTAAGAAATTAACAGATAATTAACAAGAAGAAGTCCAACAACAAGTTCTTATTGCAAATTACAACTTTAAATTTGAACTTTACCTTCCAGAATTATTTTAAATTGCTGATGTTTTAGTAGCTATTAATAGACTTACAGCAATATTGACAGCTCAAAATAATAGAGCAACTAAAAAAATTATCATACTCATCAAGAAATTTTGTGGTGAAGAGTTACTTGGTTAAGAGACTTTGAAGTTGTTGCTGAAGCAAATGGAATTATCAATGCAAGAAAAATTCAAATTGTTCATGAATATTTGAAAGATCCTACTATTATTTGGTTCAATGAAAGAGCCAAAAATAATGCTCTCATTTTAAACAACTGGAAAAATGTTGCTTATGATGAACATGACTTCAAACATTAGTTTATACTTAAATTTCACACAAATCAAAAGATAAATAAATGGAGTGATGAATTAGAAGAACTATAACAAACTGGAATAATTAATAAATATACTGACAAATTCTATAAACTTCTTCATAAAGCAGATCCAGACAATCACATTCACAATAATAATAGAGTTAGAATATATAGATGTAATTTAAAGTCAAAATTCAAAAAATGAGTAAAAATAAATGCTGATAGAACTCTTACAAATATTATTGAGATAGCAAAAAGAGCAGAAGAAGCTAAAAATAAAAGCTTCAATAGAAATTATTACCAATCTCAAGCAATATCAAATGATGATATGAATGTTATATTAAAAGCTCTCCAAAATCTCACCCAACAACTAACCATTACTGGAATATATAATTGATCTAGAAATGGTTTATACAATTAACATTCAAGCTGGAATTCTCAAAGTAATAATTCAACAATTACTTGTTATAATTGTGATGAAAGAGGACTTATTAAATCTAACTGTTCAAAGCAAAAACAAGATCCAAATTAATAAACATCTTATTATATGAGTTCTTGGGAGAGCTGGTGAGTGCTTAATAACGTTATAATAAGTTACTTGGTCAGGATAATTATAGTAAAGTTTATTAAGAATGATGGGTGGGAAAGTATAATATAATCAAATCTATATAATGCATCAAGTATTAAACTATGATTATAAACAAATCTAAAGGAAGGTAACAG